TTTTTGGTCAAATGTTTCCAAAAAATCCTAAAAACGCCTTTTTTGGCTCGTTTTTTTTCTCAAAATTTTGCGTGCGGCGCGTACAATTGACAAAAAAGGGTCTTTTTAATGCCTTTGGAGAGCTTGGAATCAATCTTGTCAACCTTTATAGGGTTTAGGAGACCCCACCTCGTGAAATTCCTAGATCAGCCCCTGGTGTACTGATTTTTATATGCAGAATAGCTAAATTATAAACCATTATATTTGATTTTCTTGTGAAATTGTACTTTGATAGAAAAAGGGATTATAATCTATCATAATAGATCATAATAGTTTACAAGAGATTATAAGAGATTATAAAAGATTTTCGGAAAAATTATAATCAATTATAATAGATTGTAATTTATTAAAATGTCGCCAAAAATGATATCACTATAATGGATTATAGATCGTTTAAACTCCTAAGATTGGCGCTTATAATTAATTAAATTTTTGCTAAGAATACGATTATAATGATAATATAATCGATTCTTTTTTCTCTTTACTGAGTGCGGGAGCTTACCCTCACTCAGTTATAAGAGAAAATTATCGATTATATTTTCATTATGATAGTTTTTTAGCAAAATTATTATTAATTATAAGCGCCAATTTTAGGAGTTTGAACGATCTATAATCCATTATAATGATAAATTTGTTGGTGACTTTATAATGAATAATATTCAATTACAATTGATTATGGTTTTTCCGAGAATCTCTTATAATCTTTTATAATCTTTTATAATCTATTATATTCGTTTATAATAGATTATAATCCCTTTTTCCATCAAAACATTTTTTCACCGGAAAAATCAATTATAATGGATTATAAATTATTTATTCTGCATCAAAACACAGTAAAATCAGTAAGAAGTAAGAATCAGTAAACCAGGGGCGGATCTAGGGAAAATTTTTAGGGTCAGTAAGCCAAAAATGGATATCTCAAAGTAGTGGGGGGACCTCAAAATAGTGGGGATCTCAAAAAAGTGGGAAAGAAATGGTGAGACCATTTTTGTTGGCAGGGGCTCGAATCCCTGAGAGGAGGGGGGGGGGGGGGGGGGGGGGGGTACGTCGCCCTCGACAACCTCTTCCTAAATCCACTGGTGGCTATAATTTCAAAATAACCGTTTTTTTTCGTTCGGTAACCAACTGAAAAGCACACAAAACAAAACAAAAACAAAACAAAATGAAGCGATTACATTTGTTGAGTATTAATGAAATACAATCCATTATAATGGATTATAATTCAATAAAACTTGAGAAAAAAAATTCGTTAAATAAGCGATTATAATTGATGATAATCAATTATAATGATTTTAATTGTTTCAAAAAATTGTAAAATTATAATTCATTTTTAATCGATCATAATCATTTTTTTGTATTTCTATGGAGACTGACAATAAAATTCCATTATAATCTATTGTTTTCTCTTTTTACTGAGTGCGGGCTGATCCTTTGCGTAACGCCTTTAATAACACGGAAATTATCGCTTGTTGCAAAAATTATCAAAATTACTTTTATCAGGACAATTTTTTGAATGTTTCGACTGCCTTTTGACTTCTCTAGGGCCTTTTTTGAGAAAAAACGTCTAAAACTTTAATCTTGGATCGCTGAGCTTTTCGTTAGTTTTTCCAAATATGACTTAGCAAACATAATTGCAGGTAATTTATTTATTTACATTTGAACTACTAAAAAAATTACCTTTAAACCGTTGAAAACTCTTTTGATTGGATATACCAAAGATAAATATCCCTTGTATTAGAGGCCAGCTCCAGAAATACTGACTGTAATTTAACGTGTTTAAACGTATCTGTTGAAACAAGACCAGATTTTTAAAACATATATATACATGATGAATGTCGCTGGTATTAACGCAAGATTTCAGTCAATCGGTTACTTTTAAACCAATATTAAATAATTCTTGAGTCGGATTTTTTTTTCCCGCTGACATTATGTTTTTTAAGAAATGTGATCTTTTCAGTGAAAAATTATCTCATCTGACACATTTTTTCAGTTTTGTAGCCCCGAAACTTTATTTGAGAAATGTCAATTGAAACATCTTTTTTTTCATTTCGCGCTCAGGGAGTAAGTAATTCAGGAGTAAGTAATTGCGTAGAAAAAACGCCAAAAATTTTTATTTTGAGAACAATTTTCAAGTTGAAAAAAAAACCAACTCAAGCACAATTTTTTAGTCAACTACTATACTAATATATAGTTAAAATCAGAAATTAGCGGCACTCAGTCTGAAACTGCAGCCCACGTACGATTTGAACCCGCAATCATATGATGCTGCCCGCATCCAAGTTTCGGCGTAAGTAATCGATTATTACGGATTATTACGATTATTTTTTGACAATTATAATTGATTATAGTTACAAAAGTTAGGGGTTAAAAGGATTTATAATTGATTATAACCGTGATATTTTCCAAGAGATTATTATCTCTTATAATCGATTATAATTGATTATAGTTCTTACAAAAAACCCTTAAGATCAATTATAATCGATTATAATCTCTATTTTGCCTTAATTTTGTCAGTTCAAAACTACGTTCGAAATATATTTTATGGGTTATTTTTTTGTGTGTCATAAGAAAGTCTCTAAGAGAGAGATCTCTTGAACACTTTGGTTCATTTGAACACAAAGTTTAACCACAAAACAAGAGTTTCATAGAGATCCTTCCATAATAGTTGTAAGTCTTCCGAATCAATCATGAAACTAAATCAATTTGCTGATGTTTTGGTGGTTAAAAAAGCTTAAAATATGCATCACAAAACAACTCTAATGAGTAAAAATTGAAAAAAAAACTTTTAAATTTGAATTGATTGGAAAGCTTCAAAAACAACAAGTTCCAAAGTTGTGCAGCAAGGGTGCCACAAAAAAGCGTTGAAAAAAGTGGATGCTATATGAATATACGCTTGCTATTTCGCTTGTGTGTACAAAAATACTGTTCGTATCAGGCCGGAGCTCTCAACAATACGACTGCCTTTCAAATCAAAAAGTCAATCAAAAAAGTGAAAAATTCAAAAGATTTTTAGAAGTTGAAAAAGGTGTTTTAAAATAAAATACTAGACGTTTTGCTTCTAATAACATAAAAAATGCCAGGCTCAATGCAACTTGGAATGAATTCAAATAGCCGCTCGTGCTATAGTAAGACAAAATCAATCTCGCGTTAATATCAAATTTGTGTTTTTCAAACCCCTTTTAACAAAAAAATGCAAGTGAATTATCTTTTTAGTTTTGATCTCGAGACATAAATAAGTTTCAGCTGGTTTAAAAAAGCCGCTGTCAAAGATGGCTAAATGAAAAGTCAAAAATTGTCTGAATAAAAAACCTCCGAGGGCAACTATTTTGTCACTTCATTTAACAGTCGGAACAAAAAAAGATTCTCTCAACTTCAACTTGGCGGAGTAATTTATAAACACACAAAAAATTTGCCTGTTTTTCGCACAAACTATTTTAGGGAGGCTGGGTATGTACGCTACGACCGTTTACGCTACAAGTATATGAAGAAAATCGAATTTTAGATGGAGCTCTTTTTTGAGTAGACAGTGCCATAATTTTGCCGGTCAAAGGAGTTTTATTCAATATATACAAAAAACGATGAAATCAGATTGGGTATAGTTTTAATGAACGTAATAGACGTATTTAACCAAATCTCTTTCTACCCGAGATCTGCGAAAGATACAACAGTACAGAGATTTTTCCATTGCGTTAATTTTTGAAAAATTATGGGATTTAAAACCTTTGACATTAATAATTTGTTCAACTCAAGGCTCGCAGCAAATCCAGTTTTACATTCAAGAAACGACTATTGCTTTATCGGTTCTACAGTCATGAGACATTTTCTTTTCAAAGCGGCGCTAGGCCATTTAACTTAAGGGCGCAAGAGTGGTGATCTTAATGACAAAAGTTTTTCGTATACAGCGGAAGCAGCTTGAAACTCTGAACATAAATTTATTCGTTGGAACACAAAGGATCTAAGCTAGGCCCTCGTATAGTTTTTTTTTGTAAAAAGGAATACAGGAAACTACTTAGCTACGAAATACAAAATTGCTCAGATTTGGGCATTTTTCTTAAGAAATTGCAGTCAAGTTTTCAGTCAACTTTGTTCTAAGCGCTGATCAAAACGTATCTTTTTTATCTCAAGGAAAACTTACACGAGGGCCTAGCTTAGACTCTTAGCATTCCAACGAATACTTTGATCTCCAAAATAACATACTGCTTCCATTGTTTACTATAATTATTTGACCCCAAGATCCCATTGCTCTTGTTGCAGCAGCGTGACTACAATAAATAGCAGTGCCTCAGACCAGAGATAAATTTTGTATCTTTTTAAGGATCATAAAGAGTTGTTTTCGATATTATTGTTCCGACTTTCGATGAAAGTAAGGAATATAAGCTCGGGGTTGATTTTTTATTCATACCAATTTTCAAAAGAACTTTTCTATTGGGGGTTTCATCGATGGATCTTCGTGTTCACAGAAGGGTCGCGCTCACCACTATTCTAACCTGACTTAATAGGTCCCTGTCAAACGAATCTGCTCTTTTCGCACTTTGTTGCTGAAAGAGTAACGCGCATTATTTACACGTGGCTAATTATCCCGCACCACAAAACTGTTCCAAATTGAAGTGAGGCAAGCTCATTAGTATTTTTAATTCCATTCACGATTCAATCTAAATTCTTAAAATTTATGTAAAAAAACCAACCAATAATTCATAGTTTGTCAATTTTCATAAACCAAAAACTATTGAGACCAGTTAAAGGGCAGTCGGAACAATCAACGCTTTGTCCTGATATGAGCAGTCTTTTTATGTGAGTCCAAAAGGACCAAGAGTTTACGAGAGAGACCAGTCGCATAAATTATATGCGTATCATTTTTTTAATCAAGCGTATTCTCGGGTTACGTCTGAGCTTAATGTTGTTCCAAGAGTCATGTGTTCATTTTTCTTAATCTACTTGGTTAACCTTTGACTGAAAAACAGTCTCGGGATTTTAAATGATTAAATTGCCCACTAGCAGCATTTAGAATGCATTTTATTGCCAGATAAAGCCATCAATTAGGACATAAAATAAAAAAATTTAAATTAAATTTAGTTTAACTAGTTTCAATACATCAATTCATATTTTCGGTTGCTTGTTTTTCGGAAATAATTTCTAATTTGTCTGCATCTGCGGAGAGGTTCAACGGTTTTGGGTCTTGATCTATTGGACTTCGAGTCAGTACTGGCTTCAAAGACACTCCGCTGACCCTGCTAAGGGGAATACTTAATGCACCCTTGGCTGAAAAACCAAGTGAGCTTCCTCCGCCGCCAGACGAATTAGGGGTTGTAGGCAATGGAGTCGAGTTTGTACCAGTTGTCGGTTTTGCTGAGCTCCTAGGAGCAGTCGGTGGAGGTGGTATAGCGACAGAAGACTCATCATTCGAGGGAAAATCGAATAGTTTGGCACTGTTTAATTTTTCTTTGGTTTCAGAGTGAACTGATGAAGCAGGGGTTACGTTGGAAACAGTTGACTTATTGGCTCCTGATTCAACCGAGCTCCCAGCTCCCGAATCGGAGCTTCCGCCACTACCACTTCCGGAACTATTCGTCTTTTTCTTCGGAATCACAAAATTACTCAGCTTATTAGTAGACTTCAAAAAAGCTGGAAGAGTTGAAGCTATCGGTGATCCAGGTTTTGGATTTAGAATCTTACTTGAACTCTTTTCAGACTTAGTTTTCTCCAAACTCAAAGTTTTCATTTTATTTTTTGATTCCGATTTTGAAGATACGCCAGAACTAGTTTTGAGAGATCCCGGTTTAAGCAATGTGTTTGCGACAATAGACGGTTTTATGGACATTCCTGTTGAACTTGACGCGTGACTAACGGGAGACGTGTGGGAACCTGCAGATCCAGGAGAATGTCCGGCCAGTTTATTTACAACACTTTCTAATCCTGGTCTCTTTTTCGTTGGACTAGATGAACTCGGTGATTTGCTTCCTACATTCGTCGGAGGCAGCATATCGGTTCCGGCCGAGTCTTTAGAAGCTAAGGTAACAGAAACATTCGAGACTGACGAAATCGCATCTTTTGTGGTACTCGACATTTTTGAAGACGACAATTCTTTGACAGAAGTCACATCACCGGTGGTTACTTTTGTTGGAATAGATCCAACTCCCGCTGTTTCGGCCGTGAATGATGCTAACAGGTTTTTCATAGGCGATGACTTATTTTCTAGAGACAATGCTTGTTTAGTTGCCTCGGATTGGGTTTTAGAATTGAGACTGAACGGCTGTTCTTTAACTCCCGATGTTGCCGACGAAGGTTTTAACGAGATATTAGACTGCAATGGATCTGTTCCAGGGCTATTGCCAAATGTTGGTTCGGAAGATACTTTATCTTCTTTTATGGTCAATGGCCCTGATAGCGAAGAATATGGTGACGCAACGGCCAATGATCCAACAGAGGATTGCGTAACGGTTGATGGTGGGTGGGATGACATGGTTGTAGCAGCAGTGCCGCCTGATAGAGAACTGGCAGCAGGAGTATGCTCATCTTTGGCAGAAGACGCTGGCTGCACTTGCAATTTTTTAATTACCAGAACTGTATCCGATTTGTTCAGAGACTTGTAAGTAGTCGTTGTCGAAGATTCCGAAGCCTCAGCATTTGGTTGCACCATCTTTTTTGGATTCTTCTTTTTAGGTGCCTTTGGTTTTTTCGGAACTGTACTCATCATCAAGGCAGCCATGTTTGAGTCACTTGAGTCATCTGACATTTCAAACGCATCAAACTCGCTTTTGTTTTTACTCCCCGAAGACAGCAGCGAGGCTTTCATCTTCTTCACCGGCGATGTTCCTGTGCCACTCATACCATCATTGGAAGCACTGTCTGCTTTCGCATTGAACTTTGGTCCCAATTGGCCGATTGGACTCTGGCCTTCACCTTTCGGAGGCCTACCTCGTCTCTTAGGTGGTCCTGTGTTTTTCGACTTCTTAGTAGGAACTGTGAACACACTGTCAGTCGAATTTCGACTCTCGTTCAAGCTCTGATTAGACGAGACTGAGGAGGAGTCAGTGAAATCATGCGAACCTTTTCTTTTATTACCAGTACCAGGAAAATTCTGACCAAACTTACCCCCAGAATTAAAACCAGCTTCTCTCAACTTGGTTGAAATCTGGTTCATCTGCAGCTCGATGGCCTCGATTTCAGCATTGCTGAGATTGTTCTTATTTTCAAGCTGTTTGATGAGCTCTGCCAGGTGTTTCATTGCGCGCTCTCTATCCTTTTCTTCAGAATTGACAATTGTCGACGAAAAGTTGTTCCTACCGTGCATGTCAAAGTCTACCGACATTGAATTTGAGTTTGAATTGTGTACGTCAGGCGTACTAGAGGGAGTTATTGTCGTTGACGGAGATGGACAAATAGATTTTGAGTCAATATTGAATCCTCCTGGCATGCTAATCGACTGTTGAAGAAAAGGCGCCAAATTAGGCGGGTAGTTGAACGACGAATGCGATGACTGAGAAGGATCCATGGAATTATGCAAACCAGAAACTGGAGAGAACATTCCAGAAGGTTTCATACCCCTTCCGTACATGTTCTGAAACTGCATAGCAAGAGCTGCCTGTTGATTCAAAAGAAACTCAGGGTGCATTGGCGACATCGCTGGGGGTGTTCCGGAATGACGTTGCTGGTTCATGGCATCGAAACTAGGCGGGTTGAATGGCAACCCTGAAAGTGGATTTGGCGTTGAAGGCGCACCGGGAGTCCCCTTCGGCGAATTGAGAATTTCTCTCAGTTTCGACTCTTGTGACCCGGTTGATGTAGAATTTGGACTGCTCTGAGACGCCGACGAAGAATTTGGTAGAATTTCGGGCGTGACAGCTAAGGGCGGCGGAAGCATTGCCGATGTCATAAACAGCTGATTATTTGTGATCATTGAGAGCATTTGAAATTGCTGGAATTGCAAGGACGACGGCGATGAAGAAGGCAGGGATGGAGCTGGGCCTGCAACTGACATCGACTTCTTCACTTTTGTTTGTTTCACTTTCACTCCTTTAGCAGCTCCTTCTTCATCTTGGATTGACTTAGCTCTGGATCTTTTTCGGTGGGCTGCAGCCGAACTGCTCCCTGATGAGGTGGGGGCATGCGAAGACGACAAAATAGATTGACTGTTCATCAGGACTGGATGGTTGACAATTTCGTCAAACTGCAATGAGGCGGGCGACATTGTGTCTGATTGGAGCATATCAGATAATTTCATCGACTGCACTGATACGGGAGATACATTGGAGATCCCGCACAAGAGTTTACTACTGCCAGTTGTGTCTAAGTCTCCGTTGTCAATGCTGCTTTTGTCGAAGCAGATCACAGACTTCACGTCAATTGTGGGCGTGAGGGGAGGGGCCACTTTGGCAGATGGGTTCTGAGGAGGAGTACACACATCTATGTTGAGTGAGTTGCATTTTCGAAGAATACTTCTCGTCAGATGAGCAAGAGATCCACACCTAGTCAAGCAACCATTTAAGACTTCATAAAACCATCAATCAACAGGCAACGACCCTATTGAATGATATCTAGAGCTTATCGTTACGCTTACAATTCTTATCGCTCAATAGTTGAATTCAAAAAATCTACATCAATTCTCCTCCTCCGAAAAAAATCAAATGAATTTTCAAACAACTGACACGCCAAATAAGCTCAATCTGCGATAAATAACTTAACCTTGGCAGTTAAATAACACGTTGTAAAATTTGGAAAGACACATACTTTCTGAGTATAGTTGTCGCGTATGTATCGTCACACACGAAGACCCCGTCAGAAGTGGTCACTTTGCACGAGGGATTGGCGAAGTCAGGGTGCAGTAGCTTCACTTCAACTAAAACAGACAAGTCCTCACTTTCCTTGAAAATAAATTCATAAAATTCTCTAGTGATTAATCCAGCCAAAACTGAAAGTCACATTTGCTGTCCCTTAACCATCATTCAAAAAATTTCGGACGGACGAATCACGAAGACACAAGCGTTGCCGAAAGTCCTAGGTTTCGAATCAGACTTAAAAAGGGTCCGCCCCAAATAAATAAATAATTCGCTTTCCTAAGGATTCCCAATTTGGTACCTTTTTAATACACCTGTTTTGGCCGACCAACTTGGCACCAATGTATACTTTATTTGACAGTGGAATCAGCTTGGAAAATCTATATGGTCAAAACATTCCAAAAATTGTTCAAAAAGGCAGGTACCCTAAAAAAAATTATCGGGCGCAGGATGTTCTTTTTGGCAAAATGACATCTTTTCATTGGTTTAGGAGAGCTCAAAAAATTGACTTTATGACCTAAGACAGATCCTTGGTACAAGAGCATACTAATGTATGGTAGTAGGAATACTGTATCCAAAGTATCTTACGACTAACCAGAATGCACTTACCAGTAACTTTACAACTGGCTTTGAGAGGATGAGTGAACATGATCTGAATTTCTTCTACACTGAGAATGACCACATCGACATGTTTAGCAGTTCCAGGAAGCGCTAAAAGCAATATCGTCATTTTCTTCCGAAGTTGGAACCAAAAGCTACTAATTACTTAAATTTCAGTGCTTCAAATATCTTCAATAAAATAATTTGTTATAGTGGGCCTTAATTGAAATTGAAAAACAAATTTTTGTCATCTAATGGAAACGAACTGCAACGGAAACAGATAATACATGATTTTATTGTTTATCCCTTTTTTCTCAAGAACTAAAAGGCCGAATTGAAAGTTTTTCAAAACCATGTACTGCATACGATGCGTATATCTCACTATGTAAAAAAGCCAATCAAATTGGTTCAGCTGTGAAGGAGTGGCATAACAAACGAATCCACGCACAGACACAAACGAGACATTTACACTATGGGTGCCGGACATCAAGCCGACAGACCTCAAGCCGAATCGTAGAACTAGGGACTTCAAGCCGAATTTTTTCTTATCAAGTTGTGAATATGATTAATTTGAAAATTTTATTGAAGAATTTCTGAATTTCATATCTTTCTTCAGTTATTGGCGTTTTCATAAAAATTAAGCCTCTAACTGATGTTTAGGAAAGTTCAAAAATAAAACACGGTTGAATGCGTTTTTCATGTTTATAATGTATGTATTTCAAAAACCGGCTCATGTTATTAACGGATGCCAACCCCAAGTGGTGCATTGTCAACCCCTGGTGCATGAATAACGCTTTTTATGGACTAAACTTGCCTAAATTTTTCAAAAGCCTACATTTTTGAAATTTTTGAAGTGTTTTGAGGTGCTTGTAAAGTTCAAATTTCGACCTGAATTCCCTTCGACTTGAAGTCCCGTCGGCCTGTTGTCCTAGACCCTTACACTCAGGGGCGGATTTAGGGGGGGGGGGGAGGGGGGGGGGGAGAGGGGGGCGTCCGCCCCCTCCCTCAGGGATTCGACCCCATGCCGACCCAAAATATCCCCCCTTTGTACTATTTTGAGATATCCACTTTTGGCTGACTGACCTTAAAAATTTTCTAAAGGCGCCTTTGGCGCCAATATATACTTATTTTCAGGGGGGAGCGCGCGCCGAAAAAACGCCCTTTTTGGCCTGTTTTTTCACAAGTTTGCCTGCGGCGCAGAAACTTTGGCACATTTTCAGTGCTTTGGGAGAGCTCAAAAAATCAATTTGGTCGAACTAAAAAAAAAAAGGTCGACAAAAATTTCGATTTTTTTTGAAAATCCGCGCCCCCCTCGAGAAAATCCTAGATCCGCACCTGCTTACACTACATATGAATTAGTAGATGGATCTTTTTGAGGCACATTGGTGTCTAGAGAAATGTTAGGTGCGTGACGCTGATTTTTATTCTGATGAATCAATTAGAATTCGAAGAACTGTGGCGCACCTTGTTTTCTCATCAATTCGCCGATGAGAGAATTAATTGCAGCCTGTTTGCGCATAATGTGAACAATATGCGGCAACGGATTCACGTGCGTGAACAAGACAGATTGCACCATGTAGCACCCAGTCGCAGATTTGACCTCTTCGCAGCTCCTGTCAAGGTCAATTAGTGTTAAAAGGTCACAGCTGGGCAGTGCGTGTGCATATTCATGAGCGTAGTCCGGCACAACACCCTGATAAGCTGACATGGCGTACAGCCAATTAAGAGGCTCCTTCGAATCCAGCAAAACTGAAACACAGCAATCTGAACCCAGATTCTGAGTTATCGATACAAACCGATAACCTATACCGACGCCAGGCAGCTAACAAAAAACACAAGGGTAACAAAAAGAGCACAGAGCATTAAAACATAATGAATAAACCAATTTGACAGCTTTTTATCATCGTTCGTCATTATTATCCTTAGAGCAAAAAAAAACAAGCAACTGCAAGTGTTTCACTTGATAAGTATTGATTCTATCGAAGACTGTCGAATTGATTTAGTGCATATGCGAGATACTAGAGACCTAACTTACTTATCACTGAACCAGAATCCAACTTACGCATCCTGCCTATGATCAAAATATACGCAAGGTAGTTTAAACACAGTCTCGCTTCAAATCTGCTAATTACATAGTCAAAAACTCCTTCATTATATCCGAAAACAGGGTGGCTTCTAAAGCTCGTAGTAATTACCCGTTACACGACAACTCGTATAGATTAGCAATTACGACAATTCGCAAAACAGGACATTTCGCAATAAACTCGTAAGATAATCCCTTAATTACTCCTAAAGTAAGACCGGTAATACCCCACTAAATATCCATTAATTTATACTTAATTCAAAACACTAACTGGGGAAAGATACAATCGTTTTTTGTTGGTTTAACACCAAAAATTCAGTCCAAAACTTTGATTGCATTAATTGTAAAACCGTCATTTTGGTTTCTAAATATGTTGTTATTCACTTCGGTTTAAAAAAAAAGGTGAAAAAGCATGATCATTTAAGGTGCATAGCAGTTAAAAGCGTGGAGAAAATACGCAAAAACAAGCTTTGATGAAAAGTTTAAAACATACACCTAACTATTTGCAATACCTCTCGGGGAGGGGGGGGGGGGTGGGGGTGAGGGGCAAATGAAAGTTTCGCAAAAAGTTTTTGTGTTATCCAAAAAGGGGATTCCGACCAATTTCTCGTGTTCACCACTGAGGCAAACTTGGATATTCTCGAGCGTTACAAAACTTGGCACGCTAATGGCACATTTAAAATTGTCCATCATTATTTTATCAAGTATATACTCTACATGCTGTTATAAACAACTTCTCCATCTCAATGGCTTACTCTCTGTTACAACGAAAACTCAAAAGCAATATCAACAAGTATTTCGGTTGTTACGTGAACTTAACCTACTATTAGAGCCAACAGAAATTATTATTGATTTCAAAAAACCAGCAATTTTTGCTTTCAAATCGGAATTTCCAAAAGCGTTTGTAAAAGAGTGCTTTTTCATTTTGCGCAGGCCAATTGGCAATAAAAACTAAAAATAAGGACTGGCGGTTGAATTCAGAAACGACAAAGACTTGAGAAAGAAAGCGAAATCTGTTATTGCGCTGGTTCTCATTCATGAATTCGACTTGGAGTTGTCATCATAAGCTCAATATGGCACAACAACTGAGAGAAAGCAGCTCCGTTTAAATCTCGATTATTTTGAAAAAACGTGCGTGGGGCAATATATACTTGAAATTCTACGAAAATATCCATATTTCAAACCAGCTATCGGAAATCAGTTCAATAATGCGACAAGGTGAAATAAAAAACCAACAATTCGGTCAAAGGATGGCATAGAGCTTTTCAAAAAGGAATGGGTTATGCGCACCCCACTGAAATTCATTCAGCAAATAAGGAAGGAGCAAAGTTTAACGGAAAATCGCCTGATTCGATTAAAATCCGGAGAATAGCCCTATAAACGTCCTAAAGATGAACAATTGCAACAAAGGATATCAGAAACTCTTAAAAAGTATCAAAACAATGATATTATTTCGCAGCTGAAGCTTTTTCATTCAACTTTGATCCGTAGAACCCCTTTATAATTTGGACGCCGCAAAAGTTTTGATATTCTATCGCTTTTTTTTTCACATTTAGATTAAAGGAAAATTTGATTTTCTTGGGATTTTTATTTGAGTTCTCTTTTTCAGAGTTGACTTTTTCTTAAGATTTTGCGAGTAGTCTTTTTTGCAAATTGTCTTTTGTTGCGAGTTGACGAGGTACCATAATTACTCCTCAAACCACTTAAACACACAAAAAACAAACCTATTAACAAATCGATCCGCAAATAGAATGTCCTAAATCCATCCGCCAATAGAAAATACAAACCTAACAAATGCATCCGCAAATGAACGATATGTTACACAGACGCGCAATGCAAAGATTGACAAAGGGCAAAACTACTTACGCGATTTTGTGAACTCCTGTAGTTCTTTCACGTAGCATGCGAAAAGGGGCATCGGCTTGTGAAATGTAAGGCAGAATGCGACTGGCATTGGGGAGCTGTTGTTTATATTAAGCGTCGGTGCTATCTTCAAAGGTTGGATACTCGTTACCAAAGGAGCAACCTGCACTTTACGTACTGAATTTGAGCTCTTTGAGGAAGGGTTGTTGGAGGTCAGAAATCCGGCTTCAGACAAGATTTTTGGAGAGTTTATTTGCTGGAACTCCAAATGAGCTGTGATTCCGACATTTGCAGGCAAATCTGCAGCAGAAAGTTAATATTACTTTTAGATTAATTTCATATAGGTGAGTGCAATTACTAATTTCTTAGAATTGGGTTCCAAATTACAATGAAATTAACCCAAGCAATGAAAGTAGCCTGGTACTATAACGTAAGCTGCACGTATGTAATCATGCAGTGATGATTAAACAATTCTTTCTTAAGAAGCTAAGCTCGTTGTAATTTTCACTTATCAAGCACAGGCGAAGCGGAGCTTCGCACCTTTTGCGATACAAGAATTAAGGGTTATCACTTCAAAAATCTAGGGTTACCAGTTCAAACCAAAAATCTAACCAACGAAATCACCAGAAAACTGACCTTTTTGTTGACATATTTCATACGAAAGCTCGAACTATGAAAAAGGCTGTGTAAGTCAAAGGTTGAGCTTAAAAGAAACAAGATTAGGGACCCCTGAGAGTACCTTGAGAGCGCCTCACTATAGAGATGTGAACTTCCGATTTGCGAAGTTTTTTAGATCTAATTTCTTTAAATCTAATTTCATAAAGACATCAAAAAACGTTATAAAAAATATAATCATTTGAGCGGTCGTAGTTGAACGCAAGATTTTCAACTCCTGAGAGTACTTTTGAGAAAATTTTAAACCAATGTTTCCTAAAAACTTTTTTGAAACTATCATAGAAAACGTCGTATCTCGAAAAACACAAAGATTTGAGCGGTCATATTTGGAGGTAACTTTCGCAAACCCTGAGAGTGCCCTCAAAGAGCCTCTTCATAGAGATGGGAAATTCAAATTTTGTGAAATTTAATATCTAAGTTCTTAGAACAATTTTTAAAAGACAAAAAACGTTACATCTCGAAAACTAAAAGCAATTGAGCAGTCGCATTTGGACTCAAAATTTGGAACTCCAGAGAGTACTCTCACAGTACCCAACTACAAATTTAGAATTTTCAAAACTTTATATTTTTTCTAAATCTATTTTTTCTGAAAATTAAAAAGTAACAATAAAATCAAACGGAAAAATTTGAAGAAAAAAAATCAAAAAATCGTTTTTATCAGTGAAACATTGTCAATAAAGAAAAGCTGTCTTGTGTCACCTCAACGCCAGATGGTTGATTGAATTTATAATTACCATGTGGTAGCAAAAACGAAAATCCCTGAGCGGAGACCTTTCATGCCGAAAAAAAAATACAAACAAAAATCTAAGCTAATAGAAAAATATATTTAAGTCCCTTTTCCCATCAAAGCACACAAACTTTTTTCAATTCCCGAACGACGCAATAAGAGGCTACTAGATCGATATAAATTAAGCCGAAACTTACCTACCAGATAAACAAGGCAAAAATGAAAAAAAAATGAAAAAAACCGAGTTGGTAAAATTACAACCAGCATTATAAACAAACTTCAATTCCGCCGGATTTTTATAATTCGAAAACACTTGAAGCAATTACAGTGAAAATTGTTTAATGCAAAAAAACGATTCTTAGATCTGGCAACTAAGCCGACGAAACATAAGCAGACAAATAATAGGCCGAATTTTTTTTGAACCTGAATAATTACCGGTAAAACAGGTCGTACTCAGGTTCGAACCCGAGACCTTTGGCTTCCCAGGCGTATTCGCTACCCCCAGGCTAAATGGACAGGAGACACTAAGAAATTTGAATTTATTATGAACTAAGGTACCACGAGTCCAGATGAGTCCTGTGGACAAAGTTGTTTACGGGAAAAAAGTCTAGTACCCGATTGCAATACCCGTCATATCTCGAAAACTACAATTATTTCAGCAGTCATAATTGAAGGCAAGATTCACAACCCCTGAGAGTATCCTGACAGAGCCCAACTACAGGGTTGGGAGTTTCTAATCAAGTGATTTTTTTTAATTTTCTGAAAAATTTTTGAAGCTCACAAAAACTGTCGTAACTCGTAGGCTAAGAAAATTTGGTTAATCATAACTGGAGGCCAAACTTGCAACCTCTAAGGAAACCCTGACAGCATCCCACTTTTGGTTTGCTAGTTTTAAACCCGGTGAAACAAACACTAAATTCAAACTTAAAAAATCGATATCTTAACAACTGCAATATACGAAATAGCTTAAACGTGACAAATTCTTTGTTAAAAATGCACAATTAAAACATTGAAAAAGCTTGAACATGAAGAAATCGTGAAGCCCGCATGTAAAAATATAATAGATTATAGACAGATAGATATATAGATAGATAATAGATATTCATTTAAACCTGCCTGGTACATCTTCAGCCCAAGATTGCAACGATAACCATTTTCGAAAAACTTCAATTTACTGAAACCTGATTAAATCATCTTGTGAGGGCACAGTGCTAGTACGGACGTCACGAGTTTCATCTAAAGTGATGTTGCTTCTATATTGAATATGTGTTGTTGAATACCTCGAATAACGAAAAAGCAGGCGTTCATGTGACACTCAGGCGAAACTCATCTAGTAATTCTGTCGACGACAAGTTGAAGAATTCAGCGATTTGACCTAGGCTGCGAAACGTGCAGTCTGCTATCTCATCAGACTTCTGGAAAATCAGTAGCTTTTTCTCATCGAATTTGTTCCACTGAGTAGAGACTTTTGAGTTCATTGTCATTCAACTTGCATAACTCTCGTGAACCAACAGAAAAAACGGGCAGTGAAACTCTTTCTTCATTTTATCAACAAACTCACCATGAAAACCTAGCATGAAACTGAAAAAATCTGACCAAATGGTACCCCTGACAAGAATATATGCCAGTGTTCAAGTGTAAAGTTTTAAGAGTGTTTAAATTATAAAAAATTGTAAATCAAGAGCTCAAAACAAAAATATTAACTGCCAAAATAACCACTTCTAAAATTAAAAAATTACAATCAAGGAGAGCCGAACCCCAATGTTCCGTTCAGAAGTCTTCCCTTTTAATTTCTGCCCCAAGCTACCTTGGAAATTAGCAATTGGTTTCAAAAAAAGGAGGAATATGCTATTGAACTACGTTTATGCTTTTATCATGCATGGAAACCTAGCAACAAAATTTGCAATTAAAAAGTGCAGCGATATAGGCAATTTGGATTAGAAAAAGCAAACTGACATTAAACTAGAAACTTCGCTTGGGTAAAAATTTCTATCACACTCATATAAAACATAATTTTTGGCATCAAAAACCATAGCCAACAGACAGTATGTCAAGAACCAATGAAGGCAAGGAAACAGAAAAAAAATTGACTTTCGAATTTAAAAGAAAAATATACGGCCGCTGGAAAATATGAAAAATAAAATCAACTTTTGAATTAGAATTTGATCGCATTTTTTGTGACCTTTACTTTTGCTGTTCGATAGTGGAGTTTGCCTTCTTTTTAATAAAATTTCATTTGATGAACGTTGTGAAGGCTCTTATATAGGTCGTGATGATTTTTTTTCAAGAGCTTCACAACGTTCATCGACTGTTAAAAGAGCCGCCTCATCACATGGTGTTTTTAGGCAACAGTTTAAAATATCCTTTTCAAAAATTACTTCCATCGACAGATTTCTTTCAGTTCACTTTCGTTATTTATATCTCCACTAGACCCAAACAGGTTCAGAAAAAAATAAGTCAATGGAATCTCAAATTTTTTCTCTTTTCTGCAAGTATAAATCAAAGGGAAGAACCGTAATGAACAGTGCTAGTCCTGGACCATTTAAGAACTGTATTTTTGGTTCATCGCTTGCATTTGGATTTATTTTATTGACGCTATCCTGCCGTGGCGATCAAATTTTAATATCGTGTTGCGCGAGGTAATAAAATACGGCGTGGATCGTCAGATAGTTTTGGGGAGTACAAACTATATGTATGATCGCCAAAAGAGGTCTTCAATACTATCAGGGGCATATTAAGGATTTTCTTCATGGGGTTTTTTCAAAAAACAGACCAAACAACGCCTTTTTGGGAACTTTCGACCTTTTTCGGTGAGCGCTCCACCCTCAAAAAAAGTTAGATTGGCGCCGAAAAAGCTTTTAGAAAATTTCAAAAGTGTCAGCCGGCCAAAAATGGAGGTCTTATAATATTACCAAAGGACACTTTGGGTAGTCAGGGACAGAGTTAGAACAGGGCCCGGGCTTTTTACGAGCCGGGCTCGGGCCTCATTTTTAGGACCAGCAACCGGGCCTGACTTTCAATAGAGTTCACACGCCTAAAATGCCTTGCCACGAGTGCACTCCTTTCTACTGCAAAACTGAGCCAAATCGAACTGCTAGGATCGGCTGCGGCCAATGGGCTTATTAAATTTTGATTTTTCAAAGTTCATATTCGAATTTCAACTTCTTTTTTTTTGTTAAGAAATTCGTGTTCTCATTAAAAATGGGCCTCAGCCGAGCTTGAATTTTTTGTTTCCCATGGCAGAGCCTCAAATTCAGGCCCGGTTCCAAATCTGGTCAGGGGGTCGAACCCCTGAGAAGGGAGGCGTTGGACCTCTAAATCCGCTACTGAATAGCATGGAGAAAATATACTTGAGAAAAAGAAACACTTGAAACAATGTCTCATCGACTTCGCTGCGCACTTGCATCGTCTACGCTATTCTTGATTTTTATTCAGCAAAATAATAAGCCCTGTATACTTCAGGATGCTTCGGTGTACATTACGCATTGATTTTCCTACCTGAGATGTCCGATTCCATTGACTTTCCAAACTTCATGACGTCATAGGGATTGACATAGAACTTGATGAGGGGTTTTGGAGCTACAAAAGAATACAGAAATTAAACTTGGAGGTTTGAAAAAGGTAGCATGAAAAAAATTAGAAAAAAATACGCTACTATTTACCTTGAGGAATTTTCGCGAAAAGCCCACAAGGATTCCCATGAACAACACTTTTGATCATACTTTTCATACTAAAAACACAACACGAATAAGTTCATCTTTCATAAGCACCCCATAGCAACCCTATGATATTATATCAGGAACGTGAAACATCAATAAGAAGGGATCTGCAAAGGAGAAAACCTGGCAATAGTAACTTTAAAAGTTTCCAGTGAAAAAAATTCAGCCTAGAAAAAGTTCGCCAATTTAACCTTCCCCAGCAACAGACATACCCAAATATTTGATGATTCAGCTTTTAAGCTTTCAATATGCAATGTGAGATCAAAACACTCAAATTGAACAATTGCTTAAAACCCAATAAATTAAGTTGAATCTGTACAGACAAAAATCCCATTCTTCTATTTTTATTTCAACCCACCTTGGATCTAGTCCGACAATGAATGATTTGTTAAGTGCCTCGATGTCCGATAGGAGTGCACTGATGGCCGAAATGACTTTGGGTCTCAGTTTGAGATTGACACTGTCTCCGATGTTGTCACAATACAGTCCAATCCAGCTCTTGAAGAACTTGCCGAACTCCTGCAAAATAACTCCATTTCCAATCAACAAAAACAAGGACAGCCGGTTGCTGTGCAAGTAGTACATGATGTTCCGACCCCATTTTTATTAACAAAAAATGAATAAATAAAAAAAAAGAAAAAAACAATTTAGATCAGGTTTTTACAGCCTAAATTTCTAATTTTCATAAATAACAGACGTTACTCGATCGCTTTACTCGCTCGAAAATTGACGACATTTCCGACCGGTTTTTCTGGATAGAAGGAAACATTTTTGAAAAATTTTAAATGTCGTTCGAATCACGACTAGAAGGTCTTTAATAAGAAAAAACTAAAACACACTGGTCGGAACAAAAAAAAACTAAAACATAACCTTGGTAAATTGCTATTAGAGCGTCAGACAATTTTAAGACAACAAGCAAATTAATGTTTGAGTTCCAAATAGTTTGTACGACCAGGTGAACTCTTCTGAGAAAATTGTTAGCAATTTTGACACACGCAAATACATCCAAAAAGGAGTACTAAAAATGCAACAACAAAAAAGTCATGTCGAAAATGAGCCATGAAAAGCAAAAGATTCAAGACAAAACGGGACTCGAACAACGGAGATCCAGTTTACGAGTCAATAGCCTGGAACAAATACCAGGAAGCAATTTAATAAGGGGAATAAAAATGATGATGCTCAAATATATTGGCGCAAAAAATATGCTGCTAAAAATATTTGAACAATATCTTCCTTCACTGTGCGAGTTTCATTGGCAAAAAAGGATTGGTAATAAAATGATTTTTATTGTAACTCTGATCACAGGAACCTTACGTTGTATTTGGCTTGTTTGAGCAGTTGCGAGAACTTCTCGCTGACACACAACACAACATCGCATGGCAAGTTCGAAGAAGTGACTGCAACATGTTGAACTGATCCTCCGGATTGTAAAACTATAATTTCCACAGTTACCTAAACAATTAAAGGATGATAAGTTGGTCGACCTTGAAAATATTTAACCAATATAACGCTTGTGTAAAAGAATTAAGTTTCAGAAATTGATTGAATGTTTACAACAGATCACCGACCAGTTCTGGAATGGATAACTTGACGATGTCAAAATTGCTACCCATGCTACCACTGTTATCCGACTGACTGGACGCAACTGTACAGATCGCCCTAAAAATATTTATAAATTATAATAAAACGCTTCAAAATTGTCATAAATCGACCTTTTTAAATGATTACACTTTGACCGGATTCTCAGATATCGTTTTTTTAAAAACTTTTCTTTTTTTAAACAAAAAAACTTGACTTCATTAAACTTTAACGTGTCTTTATTACATTGATATCAACAAAGCTAACACGTGAATTATTCAAAGATACCTACACGCATAACTGAACCATACTTTTTTTCTTAGGCAAGTAACGACAAGGCAAAACTATATGATTGAAATTGATTTAAACTAACTTTGCCTTAGCTGCACAATGTTTGAGTTCGGCGATGACAGCTGATGATCCAAGTACTAAAATTACTCGACATGAAAAAAAAACATAATAACTTCGCGTATATCATAAATTAGCCCATCCGATAAAACTCCTCCTGACTTACAAGAATATCTGTCCTTCGGAAGTTTATCCAAGAATTCTCTTTTGGTTTCAAGTTCTACCTATGGAAGAAGAACGTTGAATTAATCACAAGTGTTCATCTGTGTTCAAAATCATAATCAGCAAGAAACAAAAATCGAAAAATTTTTAGAGCATTCAAAAACTATAAAACTCAGTTTTAATAGCGATACTGAGCTCCGCGTAAACAAGCGGTAATGCCAAAAAGGTGCAAAATGTTACAATAGACTAAGAAGGTTATTACACAGCGATACAACTCATACATAGGGGTCCAGGACTAAATCCCCCAGGATAAAACCCCCCACGATGAAATCTCCCAGGATGAAATCCCTCAGAGGATTAAATTCCCATATGAAAAAATCCCCCATATTTTAACTTATCATCCAGGGAATGTAAAAGTAAATATATAAGGCATTTTGATTTGAGTTTTTAACTAAAGCTACTTCAATTCGACTTTCATATAAACAAAAGGCATGCATCGTCATTTTGACGTGACTTTATAGAAACCTTAATTATCCAACTTTCCTTTGACTCTATGTAAAAGAACGGTTCTATCAACAAAAATGTCAAGCCGCGTGGCACAGTCAGCAAGTCAAACGAAATTAAATTAAGTTGAGCCATTCGCCGTGAGTTCTTATCTCAAATTTGACAATTTGAAAAGGTGTTGAAATTACCCCTCACGGGACAAAACTCCACAATACCCACACGGGAACTAATTCGAAGATAACTTTCAGTTAGTTTATTGAAGATTAACAGAGGAAGACGTCCGAGCAAAAAGATAAACTTAACAGGTGTGATACCAGTTTGCGTAGACTCATTTTAATCCCCCATTTAGCAATTAAACAATTGCCTTCGGATCCAACACTTGATTGAATTTCTAGAAAACAAGCAACTTGTTTAGAACCAATAAATATCATTCCAATTATAATGCAGAACAATACAATTAACTTTCCTTTGAGTAACAAATGGGGACAAAAGGCCATATACAACATTTACGCATACTATAAGAAACGAGAGTTAACCAACTCAGTCCAATGGGAATGCTAACTAAGGAGATCAAAGCAGCAATTCAAAGCCAGTTTTTGGACATCAAAGGGATAAAATTGGAAAACTGTAACACAAAAATATACGCACGGATCCCATTACGCAATAATTGAAACTCATGCAATCAATACAAAAATCAAAGAGGACGCGACAAACTGCTCCGACGCCTCCACGCAGTGATTGCTTTTTTCAGCATTAGTACACGCGACACCTGAATGTTCCTTGAAGATGCCTGTAGTCCCCAACATCAACAGGAGAATCAAACGAATTCGCCATGAAAACAGATGTAACCCACCCATCCCAACTGGTCTGGATTTCGAGCTACCAATGAAGTACATGCAGATTGTAAATGAACAAGATATTCCTCTGAAAGATTCAGTGGTTCCGAGAAGCAAGAAGCGATACTTAGTTTTTCCATTAAGCAAAAATATTGATGCTCTCAAAAGTTACGGAATTAAGTTCATCGATGGAATATTTAGAAGCTACCCGGAAAAATTCTACCAGGTCTACACAGTGAACTGTTTTGTTGACAGCACAACTTTCCTCTGCTTTTACGCACTTCTCCCGGATAAGCGTCAAGACAGATACAACCCACTCTGGTCTAATCTTAAGTCAGACGTGAAGGCACCAGTTTCTGTTATGATGGACTTTACAATGGCTTCGATTTTTTTCAAGCTATCTATAGAAAGATCCTTGAATCGGTTAAGCCGTTCAAAATCGGGAAGAGTAAGACTTCAATTTGTCTATACGCCTCTTGGCTGCGCTTGCTTTTGCACTGCCACTTCATGTAGAGGAGTGGTACAAAATTTTGATAATGAGCTACCAGATCCCAGAGGATTTCTAAAATTACTTTGAGGATACATTTTTCGGAGAAGGAAACCGAAATACCTCACTGAGGAAGATCAGGTTCCACAAAGATATGTTGAATGTCTATTTCCGTACAATTGACGATTGCCGAGAACAAACAACGCTCTTGAGGGATTTCAACGCGGTTTTGAGTCAGTGCTACAGATGTGAAACCCAGATAACTGGAAAGTCATCGAAGCCATCTAAAGACAGCAATCCTAGCAGGCCTTTACTTAGCCTCAGTTGCACTTGGGAAAAAAGAGCACGCGAGGAAGGAAGATAAATTTGAGCGAATAAAACACAGTATGCTCAGCGGCTAATTACAAGGAGATTGACTATTTGAAAGCTAGTGCTGTTAATTTATCGTTTCAATTTAGTTTCTTTTTGTTAAGTTTTGTTTATGATTCTACTTAAATCTTAAGTCTATTTCTGGTCACCAAGTGTAATTTATTTTTCCGAGTTGCATTTTTGCTTAACGCGAATGTGGGGGATGATAAAACAAATACTGGGGGATTTCGTCCTAGGGAGATTTGGTCCTATCGCGGATTTAGTCCTGGGAGATTATAGCCGGTGGGATTTCATCCGGGAAGATTAAGTCCGCTCATATGTAGCATTGCAGGCTAGCGTATTGAAAATGAGAAGGATGCCACTAAGAAAATTATTAGAAAAAAAATGTCAATCAATGTCGTCAGTCATTTTGATGACGAAAAAAGGTTATCCTAAGAAAACAGTAAGCTACAATTACGCTCTGCTTCCTGTAAAGACAAAAAATGGAAAATCGATTTGATACAGATAATATAGCGGAGACTATGAAAATCGACTTGAAATCGGTTTAGTTGGATACAAAATGTAGCTTAAAAATCATTTTCAATCAATTGATATCCTTTTTTGGCAGCTTCTTTGGTTATACATGCGATTTTACAAACAAAAAACTGATTTAAACTTTTTTAAAAATTTATTTTTTGTTCAGTATGTTTATTTCATACTGATTCCAATACTCAAACTTTCGAATATTTGAAAAAAAAATGGAAGTAACATTAAAATGTATGCCTTTCAATTGACTTTTCATTTTGATGTTCGGTCTGTAAACACATGATGAGTATCACTACTAAGTAATACTTATAACTAATACGTGAAATTATTGCACCAAAATGAAATGTTCTCAAAAGAGTTTCTCAATTGTCATTTTCCTAACAAAAATGTGCTAAAAACGTTAATATTGTAAATAGCATTTGAAGAAATGTTGCGAAATTTAGTCTTGTTCACGGCAGAAACCCTTGAATCTGCTAAAATCAAAATAATTGTCCTAAGACTCAACAGTTTGCTGTGAAAAACTCTACTCGAGAGACTCTTGCTCTCGGTAGCTTTGATGAACATTTCTCCCGAGAACAAAATTAAGCTCTTGTTTCGAAACAGAAGGAAGTGTTTGACGAAAATAATCACCTTGAGAAAATGCATTTACATCGATATTGAGGCAAATCTAGCGTAGAATTCCGTTTAAACCTTTAAATTAACGTATATAAATGGGCTACTGGGAATCAATTTCTACTGTAGCTTGTATATATAACACTTTTCCGGATGAGCGTGCATTACACCAATTTGAAAAAGGAAATGTTAGAGTAGTGGAAAATTATTGGGCACATTCTGTGATGCCAAATCTTGCTAAAACTCATGAAAAAATCTAATTAACAGCATGCAATTCGGTTTTCACAAAATCTTTCCTCGACGCTGTAATTTCGTTGCAGAAAAAACTAGTTTTTAATGGTCGCAATGGAGATATGTCAGCACCTAAATTTTACTGGATCTTACTAAAGCATTCAACTCAAAATCGCACCATTTTTTTTTGAAAAACATCAACGGCTTTAGCCCTTTTCAGAATAGTTCTGAAATATCGCCAAAAGGTAGTTAAATTGATAAATACAATATCTGAACGAGAAAACTTGAATTATTGAGTGCCACAAAGGACAGTTCTCGGACCAATAGTTTTCATCCTCTATGTTAAGTATTTTCCTTTAGCTCCAGTCTGATGATACCAGTCTGATAGTGAAACAGAAATCACCAGAACAATTGGAAGCTCGCAAAAAATAAAATAGACTCAACTTTTCATAATATTAAAGAAAAATTATTAATTCAAAATCATGCAGATGCTCAGGAATTTTCTTGGAACAAGATTCAAGCTTTTCAGCACAAGTTAACAAAACTCTATACAAAGGAATCTGTTCACTATATCTGGTCAGACACGTAATTCCCTTAAGTGTTCGCATTAGTGTATTGATATCTTAAGTTTCATCCCATATAACTTGAAGCGCAGATTGTTTTTTACAAACTTCACAATCAAACAGAATAAAAAGCAAATAAGCTGGGAAACTGAAGTCTGTTTCGTTAGTAGAAAATTTGATAGAACACGTGATTTACTTCCAGCAGAATTATTGATAAGTAAAATGAGTCTTAAGCATCTTTCGATTGCTTAAGAAAAACAAAGACCAGAAAATGTCCTTTTTTTTGTCTACGGAACACTTAAGCGGCATAGACACAACAAAACACGACAAGTAATACCCCAGATACGAACAACAAAGAAGCAAATAATCAGCGGCAAACGGCTGCATTAAAAAACTTATATTCGCTGCCTAGAGAAATCAGACTGGTCAGAAGAAAAAAGACATGCCTTCTTCGTAAAACACGAATCAGTGCCAAGTGACAGATCACTCGGAGGATTCAGAAAATAATTCTATTTTGTTTTATAGTAAGCTATTTAATAAATAATTAAATAATTAGTGCCACGTGCAGTTTAATCTATATAATTGATTGTTTGCAAATAAAAACCTTCTTAGAAATGTTTTTTTAAACATGGGGTTGCATGAAATTAACGTTCTGCTGGAAAAAAAGGACGTTAAGAAAAAAATCACCCCACTGTAAATGCAAAAATACATCTATAGATAGAACCTGCATACTAGTATTGTGCACATTATCAGAGCACAATCGAGAATCTTAAAATCAATTAAATTGCAGACAAGTAAGAAATTCACACCTGTTTTTGTTTAAGTTTGCATTTTTCTGCGACAGTCTTCAGAGTATTCTGTCTTTTCTGCAGCTCCGCGATGAACTTAGTCAGACTGTCCACTGGTTCTTGAGGAGTTTTCTTTTCTCGTATTGTAACATCAGCCACCCGTTCGCCCACAGTTCCCAGTATGACTAAAACGGAAACAGATTGATAGTTTGACAGTCTACAGAAAGAGGTAGAAGAGGAGCACTGTGAAAACGGCACAGAACTTTCCAACACGTAATCGCTACAAAAATTTCAGTCAAATTGATATTTTTCTATTTCGAAATACCGAGTAGTAGCATTGCCATAAAGTAATGAAAGCAACCTAAATAGTAAGGAAATGAAGTATTTAGGCATAACTGGTAGGTGACTGGCACCTACAATCCTTCAAACTATTAAAAAGTAGACTGCAGACATCCAACCGCGTTTCCTGTTCGAACAATTGAATGGTGCAAAAAAAATCAAATTTAAAGTTCCCAAGTCTTTTCACTTTTATGTTCCCAAGTTTTTGTTCCCAATAATTTTCTTTCTGATCTACTTTGATAACATTGAGAGTTGCTGAAACCACTAAAAGAGAAGTCCAAAACTTAAACTGGTAGCATCTAACAATTTGAATAATTTGAGGAATAGATCAACTTAAGCTATAAGTTTGACTGAAATTGAAGAATTAACTTTTACACAGAGGCTAAGCGGACCTTTGCACCTCTGGTGTTGCGACATAAAAGCAGGGCAAGCTAGGACACCGAAAATGCGACGTAAGCCGCTAAGGCGAAAAAAACTTTGAAAGCAATATAGAAAAAGACTATCATGATTTTAATTCGTTTGTCTCGATTTGCATATATTGACTTTGATTAAAATGTGCTTAGTAGGACAATTGTCAGACAACAGAAAATCGAGCAGACAGCAGTTGGACCGGAAACATGTTGTCAGAAAAAAAAAACATTTTTGAAACTCAAAACTAAACACTTCAAATACACACAGTAATAGGCTAATTTTCTCTCTGTTAAACGACGCAAATTGAGTCGGCTAAGCCCATATTTCATACGCGAAAACCTTTTATACCGTATAAAGCAAAAAAATGAAACTAAGATAGCCGGTTACTCTGCAAGTAGCACAGAAGGTTCCGACCAGTCTTAGAAAAAATTACAACAAAATTATTTTTTCAAATTAATGTTGTTTTTTTTTGGCGTGGTGTGATAAAGGAATCTGAGCGAAAAAATAGATCTTAAAAACTTTCTTCAGTCATGGTAAAATATTCAAACTGGAAAACAATTTTTGAAGACAAATAACAAGAAAAAAATTTTTAAAAAAAATAAATTTTTTGAAGTTTTTGATTCCTAAGATGAAGCTAAAAACTCCAAAAACTAACTTCATTTGGGTTAAATAAAGTTTCATGGCTTAAGTCATGCATAAATAAGCTAATGAAAGCCCGCTTACTCGCTCGAAATTAGACAAAAAATCAAAAGGTTCAAACCGGCTTTTCTCGACACTCAACCCAGTCCGATGATTATTTGTGGTAGCTGATTTTGCGTGAAAACAAAAAGAAAAAACTATAACACACCCGAATTCTAAGTTCCTCCCCATTTTCAATGGTCGGAACAAAAAATGAAATAGATCAAATTTACAATTAAGGAAAAAACCAATTTCAAGACTGTTTTTTAAATGCAGACACACCCACAGTATGTATTTTGCTGACGAAAACACAGAATTGGCCTGCGAAAATACAGAAGTTGTTCAGCTGAAAAAATCAATGTCAGTTTTTATAATTCTTGCCAATCGCAAGCGTAACATAGATCCAACGCGAAGCTTCGCAGAACTTCAGATACACAGCAAGCGAAGTATTGAAAATTAGGGAATGAAATAAATGAGACAGAAATTACTACTTTCAAATGCACTTTTGCCTCTATGTTACGCTTGCGATTAGCAAGAGTTATAAAAACTGGACATTAATTTTTTTCAGCTTAACAACTTCTGTGTTTTTGCTGGCCAATTCTGTGTTTTCGTTAGCAAAATACATAACGTGGGTGTGTCTGCAATTAAAATACACTGTCTTAAAATTAGTTTTTTCCTTGGTTGTAAATTTTATAAAAATTATTTCAGATAAAACAGTCGAGAAATACAATAAAAAATTAAACAAGCTTTCATTTAACGAGCAGCTACTAAGCCGAACAAAAAAGCCATAAAAATCAGCTTTTACTCTTCTAACTTAGCATAATATTCTGACTAAGCCAATAAAACATGTCAGGGATGCTTATTATCTTCATTTAAGCATCATTTAGTGTAAAAAAAATGAATCGACTATGAACCAAGCTAACGAACTCCAATTTGATAACTTAAGGCTTGCAAATACTAAAATCGCATTCCAAATAGACTCGGATAATCAATTTGAAGCCCCGGGCATCAAAATCTTCATGTTTTATTCACAACTTTGCCGACAAACGTTAGAAGACAAAATTTGTATGAAAAAAATTGTACCTTTCAAAAAACCTATTAGTATGTAGTGTAAACCAAGCTGCCATATCAAAGCTATTAGATGGCCGTTTTGTATTTAAAAGAATTCATCCAAAAAAAATTAGCACATAACCGAAAAAAATTTAAAATCAAATTCAGTAAAAAAACTAAATTAAAATGTAATATGATCCAAGTTGTCACATCAACGCTGCTATTATATTTTATATTAGCACTTACACATGCTTGAAACTCCACGTTTGTATGATTTGTAAGAGAAATTGTTTACAGGAAAAAAGTCTAGTTACCGACAAAAGTACACGAGCTTTCACAGAAGAGATGATCTTATGCACACAATCTGTCGCTGTAAATTAGTCTGTGGGGCAAAATCTGACACACATTTTTCTCGACACTGGCTTTTCAGATTTTTTTTTAAGAATTCGAACTACAGAAAGAAATTTTGTTACGACATCACACTTGATCATTTTGGAACACCTTAACTAGCCCGAAAATTATTCACCCTGTCCGTATTTGCTTACCAATTGGAGAAATTGAAAATTCTCACCGTTGCTGAAAGCAGCTGACTGTGAGAAAAACACGTCAGTGGAAGTTATCATGGTTCTTGCAGTCACGACGCTAGTTGAGTTTCCAAACTTTCAAATTCTCAGTCAATTGTCATAAAATCTGAAAAAAAAACACATGAAACCAATTTCGCAATCATGGTTCATTCAAAAAGTAAGGTATGTTTGTGCAACAAAAGCAACTTTGGATGATGGCAACATTTCTCACATAAATAATTTTAGGGATCTTGACATCAAAATAATTGTCGTATGTGAATTGGCTCAATTCTGAGATTTCGTTCAAAAATCGGCAGTTTCAGTTTACTTATTAAATTATTATTTCTTAGTTTCATCAACTACGATGATCTTTCTGGATCTTCAACATAGCTCTCGTCTGTCATGCAGCATGACAGCCGTTGTTTCCTAATTCTTCGCCGTTTCTTCAGTCAAACCTCATACAATATTCGCTCGGTCAATTCAGCTTCGAAAAACCCTTCAAACCCAAGCCGTCCACCCTTCGTACATTTGGGCCAAGTTATTTGGGTCTACCGCTTCCTTTATAATAAAATCCACTTGCTCATTCACGTTCATTCGTTTGGTAACTCCAATCGGAACTGCTGATGTCGCCCCCTCTGAACTCTCAACAACGCCGTCTAATTTCGACCTCACTTTTCTCCATACTGATATGGCATACGTATTACGCTCCTGCAAAGCCTTTCCAGTTCTCGGATCCCGTTTGATAATTTCCAAACCGCCAGTTCCACTTGTAGTTGCTTTCGGTACAGATCCAGGGTTGCGTCTCGCTGGACTCAACAACCTTGCACTAGAAGTCGACGAGGAAAACAGTTTACTTTCCTTACTGATTCCAAACTCATGCAAAGCTTGAAGTCCTTTCACATTTTTCAGACCTGAACTTACCTCTTTCAGATTGTCGTTATGCTTCAGTTTGGTCAAAGGTTGATTGAGTGAAAGTAAATCTGCATAAATGGCTGGCGTAATTTCAGTTAGAGTTCGAACAATTTCGGTGAGTTTCTCCAAAGGGTGTTGATCTCGTTTTAACATGGCTATATTTGCCAATACTGGATTAACTGTTGAATAAAATTGGCTGACGTTATCTGTAAACTGATTATGCGTGATCACATATTGTCTAACTTGGTTGAAAATTGCTTTCAGCGATTCATTTGTAGCTAAATCGTCTTTGTTTAAGGGCCTCATTAAAAGTTTCAAATCTTTCATAGTTGCATTGTGAGTACTCAGTGCCAGTTTCAATGGCTGAACAGATACTTTCAAATCATCTCTGGTTTTTAACAACGCTTGCCATGTTGAATCGACGAGAAGCTTCGCTTGTTTGTCATCGCTTTGAAGATTATTCAATAAACTCGCTCTTGTTTCTTCGTTCGATTTCACTTTCATTGCCGAGATGTTCAACTTACTAACTATGAATTTTTCAACAGGCGAGATGTCCACTTTTCGACCTCTATAGGCGTTCAATTTCTCACCCAGCTCAATCAATTCTTGGCAACCCGATGTGAACAGTTGCACGCTTTGAGGCGCCCAAGTTTGCAACTCTTCGAACTGCAGCAATAACTTCGAGGACAACAGGAGCTCTTCAACTTTTGTTACTCTACCTTGCAGAAAAACTTCGCGAGCAGATTTCAAAGAGGAAAATTTGGCGAGTGAATCTTTGTATAGCCCTGCCGACCATTTCAACCTTGCTTCAATTTTATCTTCCTTCGTTTTTAGTGTCTGAAGATTAGTAACCATTTGAGCATTTAGGTTAGTCAACTCGATCACTTTTGTTTTGATATTCTCTAGCGCCGAAAACCTGCTGTTACTCATTAAATCAATCACGGGCTTTCCTCCTAGGACCAGCATGTGGTAGTATGACCATTCGAACTTGGTGGTAATAGTTCTCAGAAGCTGGAACTGTCTGCGATACAACACTAGTTGGTTCTCGATACTCACAACTTGAGTGCCCTGTCTGCAACAAGCTTCAAGGTCGGCAAAAAGCGCAAATACCTGAGTGAAACAATTCTCAGGTATTTCTAGTCTATTTTTAAGAGAAGATCTCACTTTTTGATCTATGAGCTCCAGTTTAACATCCTCCACACCGTCTCGATCTGAAGAATAGTCGCAAAAATCAACAGCCGAACCTACACCAAGAGCTGTAGCACAGTGCAGTATAAAATGGGCAATGCACGCTGAAGGTAACCCTATAACTTGCTTTCGAACAAACGAAGACACGAACAAAGCTACTGGGTCCAAGCAATGCAAAACGTCATGAGCTATAGTTTGAGGACGTTCTTTAGTGCTACCACTCAATTTCAAATTTTTAACAACATTCACAGTTGTTAGTATCGATCTTACGAACCCTGATAGCGCTTTAATGGAGCAGCACTTGAGCCAAGTTTTTGCATTAAGCGAAGACTTAATGTCTACAGTCAATACTTTTTGGACTTGTTCGGACACTTTGAGGACTTTGAAATGTGGCAACATGCTGAGCATTTCTGGTGGCGCTTCACTTTGCGAACACAAATGCATCAAGGTTTCCAGTTGGTTCGACAACCTGTTGAACGCTTGAAACACCAGGGACAACACAGTTTCTAGAGTATTAGGCAACGACGTCACCGCTTCCACAAGAAGTTCAAGTTTACTCGAGATCTCTGCACGTTTGACTGCATCTTCAAACCCTACAGCCTCTATTTCTGCTATCAAGCTTTCAGATTCTTTCTCGATGTTGCTCAATTTTGAATCCAAATCATCAAACATTTCGGACGTATACTCCGCCGCAAGAAGCAGGGCGAAAACTTCTGGCATAGTTTCCGCAGCCACAGACTGATAAAATTCAAGTAAAGATGTGTAAATGGACAGCGATGCAATCAATGGATTGACATGCTGCGATGATAGCTTCTCAAATTCCGCGCCTAAGTTTATGTAGTACTGGACAAACGTTGATAGAGTTTTGAGGGTTCCAGCAAGCGATTCAATTTCGTCCAAGAACCAATCCCCTCCTACAGATTTGGAATTCTTCAAAGCTTCATCTGTTGCTTCAAAAGCCGCGACTTCCATATGCATGTACTGACTAGCAAAAGTAGCAAGATAGTGTAAAACAACAGAAGCTGTAGCGTTCGAGTACTCTTTAGGTTTGGTCGAAATAAACACCATAAGACGCTTGCTTAGCGCACTTTTAGACTCGTCAAGGTCCACGTTTTGAGACAAGGGCAGCAGTTTGCTGCTTAGACGAACCACCGAATCATTCAGGGTTCTCAATTCACTTATCAAATTGTTGTCAACGTCGACTGCAAAATACGCTAAACTAACAGGTTGCTCAATTACAGCTTTAAGTTGTTCTGTACACGAAACTCGATTCTGTGTCGCATTTTCATCTTCATTTTCGCTAAGGGTCGTCATTTCTGTTCTCATCTTTTGCAAAGTTTTTATCAAATTTTGAAGCAAATTGTTTGGCGCTTCTACTTGCTGGATGACTGAAAGGTATTCGGTTAATAACTTAGCAAGCTGGAGACAAGCGGAGTTTTGAGATATGAACACTTTCATACATTCTGTGTCTGTTGATTCGCAATCCTCAAGCAGCTGCAGCTGATGCACGCTAGCCAGATATGTCCTACTTTCTAAATACCCTGCAGGTGGCACCGCATTTGCCGGAGTCTCCTCAAAATCAGCCAAAATGTTCATCAAAAACAGTCTGTGACCATTCGAGTAAGCTTCCATAAATTTTTGCAACGTAGCTACACACAATGTTAAATGCGTGTCTAGTTTGACATTGAATTCGTCTTCTATGCTTTGATAGAACGCCGCATTCGAATCTCGTTTTTCTAAACTCCAAAAAAAGTGCTCCATGTCGCCTGCGGCTTCTTTCAGATACAACTGTGCTTTTTGAACAACACTTCGCTGCTTTTCCTTCTCCAAATGAGCATTTAGGCTTAATTGTAAATTTTGGAAATGATTTGGGATCAGTTTTAAAACATTTATGATATCATCGCAATTTTTCAGCCATGAAGACTTAATTTCGACAATTTTTGCGCTAAGCAAGCTGAAGGACACGCCAAAATCCAGATTCCTTTTGTCCCTTTTTAGATTTTCATTGTTCTTTTTGAATTGCAATGCTCCCATGAAGCCTCCCAGATCCGAAGAATGAGTTGTCCAATCAACTAAAGGGTCATAAACAAATGCTTCTAACAATGTCAATAATGTTTCTCTTCCTTTTTTCAGTGTTTTCATCACATTTTCAGCCACAATTCGAAACTTGCCCTCATAGCCCGTGACACCTAAGGCTGCCACTAGATTCTGCGTCAGTCTAAATGCAACTTTTTCCGGCACACGAAGATTCTTTCCCTTTTCAAAGCAGACGTTGTAGTCGATGTGGACAAGTTCTCCCGAGTTCAAATCCACCAAAATATTGTCCAAATGACGATCGCCGAGGCCGATTACGTAACCAACTATACTCATGAGCGCGTTGCAGCTGTTGTACTGCTGCGTCATTAGCCACCATTCATCTGAGTTGGAGCAGCTACACCACATTTCTCGCCACAGCAGATAGTTAGGCGTCTCACGTTCCAACTCATCTAGCACTTGCCTTACTACTTTCAGAGGCCAGTCTCTTCTTGGTAAACTATCCGAAAGACCACTTGCTACCAGACATTTGGATATTTTTTCTTGGAACATTTCGCTTGGTTTCGGAACTGGAGGTACTTGGACTACATTGCTACTAGAGTCTTGTGGAGGTGCTTTGGGTGCAGCCGTTGTTCCTTGCGCGGATGCAGATGACGTTGCAGTAGCAGCGGCAGACGCTAAAGCTTGTTTTTTCAACGCCGCCGCATACGCTTCACGCTGTTGCCACTTTTTATAGAGTCCGAACAAAGGCACAGCTCCATCGACCCACTGAATAAGACCTGATCTTGGTCCTAGCGGAGTAACGGCATAGTTCCTGGCTCTGTAGAAACAATTGTTTGCAGTTCGATTGTCTTTATCAAACATTGTGTTGACAATTGTCAAGAACTGCATTATTCTTTCGTCTAAGTGTAAATCTTCCAGTCCCTTGAACAGGTAGGAATAATTGACACCGTTATTTCCTAAAATGGAAATTTTCTTCGGTTTCGTCTTTGTGGGCATAATCACTATTTCGTCTTTGAATGATTGCACTGTTATTAAATCAGACGTTTCGCTTAGGATTAAAGGCACGCTTGTATTTTTCAGCATAAACAGTTTGGGAGCAATTGAACGAAGTTGTAGATTCAAAGATGACTTTTTGGATGTTCTTGTCGATAGCTCTTGGTACAGTAAATTAAAGGGTTCCCAAGCGAGTGCTGGCTTTCGAATATTTTCAGGCTTCTTCAACATATCCAAGGCTTCTTTTATTCTCTCTAGGAATGTTGAAACAAACCAGTTTTCATGGTTAGTTTCCGGAGTTTTGTCCGTTAGTTCTAATATCTGTTCGAAGACAAAAATCACCGGGTTCATAAAAGCCGAGTATTTGGCCGTCAAAATTGTTTGCTTCTCCGCATTATTAAGCGACTTGATCTTATCCAATCGTTTTCGTTCGTACTCAATCGCATTAATTGCTTTCATGGCTTCGTTTGAGTAGTACATGAACGCGGACATCCAAAGTTCATCCCACAACAAACTAACTCTTCTGAGCTCATCGACGAATAACTTCAAGTCTGAAACTAACTGTAAATCACATTGGCTGACAGTTTCCAGCAAAACGCTATAGCAATGCTCAATCTCAGCTCGGCTGGAGTAAAGGTCATTCAGGTCAACTTCCTCGTCTTCATCTTCAGCATCATCCTTATCCTGGATTGCATCTTGTGATCCATCGATCAGACGCATATCTGATAGCTCGTTTTCAACGTCTTCAACATGCAGGATCTCCATATCGTTACCGTCGTTCGTTTCCGACGTCATCAGTGACTGTGATCCAGCGCTGGACTCTTTGTCAATGCGTCCCTCAGCTCCTCCGAACTCTGAGTCCGTATCTGCCACTGAATTTTTCCTTTCTGGCTCTTCTTGTGACTCTTGTAATTTGGTGCCATCGGTAATTAGACGCCCAGATTTGGATCGTATTTTGCCCTCCGATATTTTTTGCTCGCAGCCAACTATTACTGGGTACACAATTAGATGCGGAGTTTCGGAGGCTATTCGCTTCAGGAGGTCCGTTACACTTTTCCTAACGTACGTTTCCGGATGGTTTAGCCTTGAGAAAAGCTGCGGGATTATCACACGCCATGGTTTAGTAGGAGTTGACGTCAGTCCGGACTCCAGGCAACCTTGGAGTTCCCATGCATGATTTACAAGAACCCTCAACAAACGTAGCGTCGCTGTTACATGAGAATCATCGCTCAAATTAGAATCCAACGTCAAGTATTTGAAATAACTGTTAGTTGCAAGCTTGTACATACCAAAAATACGATCACACGCATTCTGCCAGACTTTCATAATATGGTCAAACGCAGGGACATTTTCCAATTCTTCTGCAACTGCTAGAACTTGTCGTCTCACTGCTTGTCTACCATCTGAACAAAGCGCTCCCGCCTCATTCACAACTATATCTTCATCTTGCAGTGCATTGAAATGCGGCTTCTGCAATATTTCAACAACTTTGCTTCGTTTCGTTGCATCAGTCATGCATAACTCCAAGAACGCGTTCACTTCAATCAACTCTTGAGGCGTCAATAGTTGAGTTTGACTGCAGGCTTGAGTCACAGCTTTCTTACCGAACTTAAAACTCCATGATGCCAACCTGTACCACGTTTTGCTACACTCTGGTTCAAATCCTATGGACAGGTAATGTAAAGCAGCAATGGTCGCTTCCCGTTTGTCAATGGACGTGTTCCCTGTGATAGCTTCCGCCAACGGCTGAAAATGAGCAGTTGTACCTATCAATTCTCCCAAATCTGAGCAAAGTTTTCCAAGAGGACTGAAATTTTCGCTCGATGCCTCGAGGTTTATACTCTTCCCGTTTTCTGAGCTCAGAATCTTCACCAGATTCGAAATAGTTGACGATATGAAACTGGAATCGCCAATTTGTGCGTTCTTCATAAAGAGTAAAATTAAGGAGCTCAATTTATAGCAAGCGCCTGAAAGCTCACCAAAAATCGATTGCAATTTGGCAGATTCTTTAATTTGGTTCAATTCTATTCGCACCATTGATGAATCGTTCAAGTTTAATTTGAAGTTTTCTTTCAACTTGCTAACCAAAGTTGATTTCTCCATTTGAACAAACTGGCTGCATTCAGAATTCAGTAGTATCTGAGAAGCTACCTTGGGACACCCTGACTTGCGCAAAGTACGGATCAGATTTAAGCTACAATTGTTCTGTCTCAAATTACTTCCAATCAACAGATCTCCACGTGGATCCAAAAGAAAGCCTTCATTTTCAATCAATCTTCGTTTCAGCTTTTCGATCTGCAAGCCTCGAAAACAAGAGTCTATTTGGTTTAAATCAGCATGCGATCCTTTTTTCGGGAACTGGATTACATTTTTGTATAGCTCTAGTTTAGGCTCTTCTTCTTTCAGTTCACGTAACATTGCAATGGTTTTGCCGTGACAAAGTAATTTATTTGCCGCCGTTTTAGAAACAGAACTCGAATATTGGCCAGCCGTCCAAGCAAGTACACGTTCTACGTCACCCAGTAGGTCTTCAGATCCGAATGATTTCTCCGGTGAAATGCCGCCTAATTTGAACTCGTCTAACTTGCTCAGCATTAAATTGTTCAACTGTTCTGTTAAAGTCAAGTCTATGCCCCGACACAAATTATCCATGTTCCATTCCGGGACACAGCAAAGAATGGATTCCTGTGGCTTTTGTTGGTCACTGGAAGCAAAGATCTTTTCTAATGTTCTCTCGGTGCTCAAAAAATCCAATGAGTCAAAACTTTGCATAACTTTGACGCGCTGCAACTCATTTTCTCTCAGCCTTGCAAAGTTGAGCTCATCATTATTTTTATTCTTTTCACTGAAATTTTCGCAAAATTGATTGAACTCCTCGAAACACTTCAAAGATTCAGCGATTGAAGCGATCTGTTTGAAAACAAATCTCATCAAAACGGGCGACTTTTCAGAGAACTCCGACGTTTTGTCGGGTGGTGTTTGCAGAAGACCGACAGACTTGCTATTCGCCAAATCAAACTCAGGGTCTTTTCCGTTCAGTTTACAAGCATATAGATACATTGCGTCTTCATATGACCCGTTTGCTTGTAGCAAAAACAACTCGGAGTAAGGAAATTGTCTCCCAAATCGCTTTTGGAAATAAATGTTGAACCCTTGAATTTCCTCATGAGCAGAACATTCAATGTAAGCCCAATAAAGCATCAAACAGAGCTCCATGATTTGATCAGGGTGTGTTTTTTCGTTGTTTTGTAGTTCGGCGAAATATGACGTAACATGATGAATTACCGATGCTGGGCGGTGAACTGCTTGTGCAAGGCATGCGGCGTGAACTCTTATTTGTTTGTACCAAATTTTACAAACGTCTCGATTGGTTCGAAAGAAAGTCCTTGCCGCTTTATTCGCAACGGGCAGACTGCAGACTAAGCCTTCGCTTGCGTTATAAATTTGCTTTTCAAGACAGTCCAGAAAAAGCAGCATTCTTTGCGGCTTGCCAAAACATTCAAGATTATCGATGTTAAGAGACCGCCAGATCTGCTTTTCCATACTAATTCCCCGAACTTTTGCACAATGTGACCGCAAAACACTTTCAAAGTCAGCGAAAGTCTCACTTGCTTTTCCCAACGCCGTCTTAAGTTTTCCCGTAATGCATAAATTGGCCATTTCCCACAAGGCATAGAACCAACACACGTCCAGAAATTGAACATGAACCCTCCAAGGAACATCTCTGAATGTTATAATTGAGCTTTTATCAGCGTATCTATGGAAAAAAACTTCAAGATTGTTACCATGCACTTGCTGTCGAGTGTCAATTTCCGTGAAAACCCCACTCAAAATGAACTTGAAATCGTATGGTAGAATTTTTGAGCTGGGCTCAAACTTCATCAAGTCTTTTTTGGAAGTTTTTCGCTCATAACACAGCACAGATTTCAAATCCTTAGAGACTAGTTTTGAATTTCCAAAACAGCCAATGGGAAGGCATAGCAGTAATTTCGAGTAGACTTCGACAAGATCGGGCTGACTGCTAAGAAGCATGGATAAAGTCAACGTTGATAAGGTGTTCATGATTTTTTCAGACAAATTTTCGAACTTGAGCAGTCCAAGAACAAAATTCACAAAACATTCGTGAGCTTCCACTGAAGTTGTGACACTTATGCCTTCGGTCGCGGCTATAGCTAACTTTTCGAAAACTTCACTGGCCAAAATTTTCTTGGCTCGATTTGAATCCAACAACGATTCCTGTGCCATTGTTTCCACGATTTCCGACATCCAAGTCAAAATAAGAGACAAAGAGTCAGGGTTACTCTGTTTAAGAGTTAAACAAGCAGTCAACAATTCGCATACGTGGAAAAAATGCTTTCTTGTCGGCTGGGAAAAACTGAACGTGTTTTGAGCCACGGGTGAATTTTTCGACGATCCGGTACTACAACTAGCTACAAAATAATTACTCGCCAATGCATGTCTATACAATAAGCTTAGAATTGAATACTGAATTTCAGGGTACGCGTAACTGTATTCAACACATAAGACCCTCAACTTTTTGCAAAACAGGTTAAACAAGGATGGCTTTAGAGCGTAATTTACAATCAGGGAACTTTTTTGGGAGCTCAGAGGCGATAATGCGGTTAGATTGAACTCAATTATTTCGACCGCATTTTGCACATCAATTTCGGGTACAAAGTGATAAGGATCCGAAATTTCCGAGATGATTTGAAAATTGGAAAAGCTTGATTTAGTCAAGTCAGTATCGCCATTTCTTTGCTGTGATGCTTTGTCCATTAAACAATGGGCACAGGCCTGTATTTCAGAAAGCATGATTTTGTACACCGTCTCTAATGAAGGGACATCTTTGATCGCTAATATATTCTCGTACAGGTCCAAACATAACGAGACAATTTGCTCATTTTCGCAGCATCTGTATTTTCGGAACGTTTTGTTGTCGACTAGAAGAGCTTCAAATAAAGGCAAAGAGATTTCACCGGAGCTGACTTTAACAACTTCACTCAAAGTTTCGATACAACTTGAGATTATATCGATCGTACAACCCGGGTCTAATGAAAATAATTCAAACATATAGTTGAACACTGATTCTGTCAACGTGTCTGTGCTACCTTGATCAGTTGAACTTTCTCCAATTATCAGAGCAGGGGATGAGCCAATTATTTCAGTTAAAACTGAATTTGCTTGTTTCACAAGTGAATAGCTATAATTCGTGGCGCATAAAGAACAAACACAAACTAAAATTCTCTTCAAGGATTTTTGAATAACTTGTTTGAACAAAACAGACAAAACATTCTGTTTCAAGGATTTCGTTAGCACTCCAAAAACGTTGATTAGATCGATAACTTTGGCAATGATGTCACATTTCTCTCTGTAAAGGTCGCAATTTGAACTTTCATCCGTGTCCAATTTGCTGAAATCACTTCTGTACGCCTCAATGTCATCAATGAACTGACCAATAATTTTAATAGTATGCTCTGCGTTCGATACCCAAAAATCCCCAAAACCAAGCAAAGCTTTTGTGGTAAAACTGACAATTTTTGAAGATGTTGCTGGCTCAAGTCGCCAGCCAATCAGAATGTCCATCAGCTCCTCGAAATGAGGGAGCAAAGAGTTATTGTATGCTGATGCTATAACCAGCAGGCAGTTCACAACAGATATCAACATTTCACATTCGTCAACTTCAGACAAAATTTTGCACAAGTTGTCGGCACATTCCTGTATGACGTCACAAATTCTCGAATGCTCCGGAACTTTCAGGTCCAACTCAATTGCTCTTTGTAATGACAAAAGGTAGAACGTTTTGACTTGATCACTCGGCGCCCCGTAAATACAGTTGAAAATCCACTTGGAAAATTTGAAAGGATCCATTCTGCTTAACGAGCACCCTAGTATACCAATCAATTCTGCCACCTCAATTTTAATAGCTTTATTGATTTCCTTGTAATACAGCTCCTGTAATTTGTTCATGGATGATTCGGCTTGTTTCAGAACCGATCTGGCGTTCATCGGGTTTTCAATGTACTCGCGCAGCAACTTCAAATCAGGCGCCAGGGTGCGAGTGGTGACTTCGTCTCGCATCATCTTTCTCAGAAGTCCACTCAACTTCTGGTCATCATGGTATGTGTCACGTGAGTGGGGACTGTACGACACTGAGGAGCCATGGTGATGATGCTGGTATTGTTGAAATTGTCTGTATTGAGTCTCGGGGATCCCTCCACTCGAGGAGTACATGGAGGGTGCCGCATTTGCCCCTCCTCCTCCGTTTGCCGCTCGATTTGCCAGTCGAGGCGGAAGACTTTTCCTAGCACTCATTTCTGTTCCTCTAAATCAAGATGCTGCGTAGATCTATATTCACTGTGGTCATGAATTTCACTCTGAAAAAGAAATTAAACCCTTGATTTTCTTTTTGTTCCGACCACTCTCGAAAGATTAAGGGAGGAACTAGGGCGTAGAATGGGTTTCCTGCGGTCAATTTTGACGACCTCAAAGAAAACTTGCAGCTGGTCAAGCGTGATATCATATCACAACTTTTTCAGTCGCAATACCTATTCTAAAAAGATAATCCAAAAAGTTTACTAAAGATAACCAAAAAAGACTGGTCTGAAGATTTCGCTTTTCAGGCTGAATTTCAACCGACTTCTATGGCAAGTTTTATATTATGATTCAAGACTTTTTCTGTTCCGATTACTCACCCCCTCTAGAGATGAGATGGAACTATGACGTAGAGTATGCTTTTTCTGGCCGCTTTTGACGTCTTCAAATAATCTCTCATATTATTGAGTGTGGTCTCATATTTAAGCCAATGATTCTAAAAAAATCAAAAATTTGTATCTATTGAGAAAAAGTGGTCTGAACTTTTTTGTTTTTCAGATTAAATTCGACAACAGCTGACATGAATTTGATAAGATGCTGAGCTCAAAGTTAAATTGATAGCAAAATAAAACAAATAAAACGGGCTGCTGTGCAAGTAGCACAAAATGTCGCGACCTGATTAAGGAAAAATTCAAAAAAAAATGTAAATTGAACACAGATGTGAAGCAAAGTTTCGCATCACTTGCGATACCACAAAGTAGCATTGCAAGCTAGCAGACAGGAAAGGAGAGCCACTAAGTCCAAAGAAAACGGAAATATTTCGAAGAAGCCATAATTTATAGACTAGCGCATGACTCGCACCTACGGTGCTTCAAATAAATCGTTGAATGTAAAAAAAGCTTCCTAAAACAAGTACCATCTACTAAAACAGCGATATTTTATGCAATCGTAAAGATAAACTGGGCTCATCTATCGGGGGTTTGTATATAAAAAAACGCCATAGATTAAAAAAAAACAAAATAATTTGAGCAGATAAAATGGACGGCAGAATTGCAACACTATATTGTCCCCTGACAGCATCCCACCACAGGGTTAAGAAATTCAATATCTATTACTTCTTTCAATTTCATTTTTATTTAGGTTTTTTGAAAATATCCCGAAAAAAAAACATCTCGAAAGCAAAAGGCTTTGTGCAGTCATAAGTAGAGGGCAGATTTGCAACGCCGATGTGTAACTGACAGATCTCCGCCTAAGGGTTGAGAATCATAACGCCACATCTCGGAAACCAAACGACATTGAGCAGTCAAAACTAGAGGGAACAATTGCAACCTCTGGGTATGTCCTGAGAGCTCAACAAAAAAGGGTTGAGAATTTCACTTAGTTTTTTTAATATCTAAATATTTTGAAACAAAAAATTGAAAAAAACGCCACATCACGAGAAACCAAAAATTTTTGAGCAGTCATATTTGCACGCTTGCTTTGAAATCACTGAGTTTACCCGGACAGCGCCCCACTATCAAAAAGAGATTTCCAAGTTCGACTGTTTTTTTTACATCTAAGTTTTCGAAAAAAAATCATAAAAAAGGCCATATCTCGAAAATCAAAATAGTTTGAGGAGTCATACTTGTACGCCAGGTTTGCAGCTCATGAGTGTACCCTGAATTCACTCCACCATAGTGTTCGAAACTTAAATCTTACTTAAACAAATTGTGAACTAAAAATTTCAAGTTTTACGTTGCCAATATAGGAAAAATGTAGAGTTGAAATAACAGCATTCGCGCTCCAGCAGATTTTAAAACGTCGACTTGAATGAACTTTCTAACACTTGCAATGCTCTGGTCTTTCAACCGACCAGCAAATTGACTTCTGAAAAATGTGCCATGTGAAATTTTTTAAGCATTACAATATACTTAGCTTAAACGTGCAGAAATTCTTTCATTAAACAAGCAAAAAATATTACGTTGAAGAAGCTTTAAGAAATCAACATAGGGACTTTTTAAACATGGGTCAAGTAGAATGCCAATTAAAATAGGATAGATTCAAAAACAATTCTCAAGCGAAAAAAAACTGTAGTCAAGTAAAACTTTGAACTATAAATTCTATTCCATAAAATTGTTGTCAAGAAGAACTTTGAACTATAAATTCTATTCCGAGATTTTCAAAGTTTTGTGCGATCCGGAGGAAAGCATACAAACAATTGTTTCCTCTAACGGCCCAAGGTTAGGTTAGCAAGCCCATGAAACTTAAGCTGAAATTATTTAGGACAAAAAAAAACTTATTAAACGAAAAAAAAAAAAAAGGAAATTATACAAAGTCAAGGCTAAGAGAATTATCAATAGTAGGAATGAATGAACATTAAAAAAGGCAACTGCAACGAAAACTGCATAAAGCAAAAAATTCTAAGATGAGGCAACTAAGCCGACAAAGCATTAGCAGACAAGGAATAGGCAGAGAACTTTTTGAAACGGAACATTTATCGCTTAAAAAAGGTCCTTGTCAGATTCGAACCCAGGACCTTTGCTGTCCCAGGTGTAATCGTTAATTCCAAACTAAGTGTACCGGAGACGCTTAGAAATTTGATATCATGATGAACCAAGATACCAAGTGATTCTATTGAACAAATTGTCAACATGAAAAAATATATATTCCGATTTGATAACGCTATATTCCGAGAAAAAAATCAATTTTTCCCCCAAAATTTTGCTTCCAAAATTTTCGGTTGTTCTTAAACTAGAAAATGCTATTGAAAACAGTCAGCAAATGCACGAATTGCTAATTAACTGCTAATGGTGCTGATTAAAATTATCCGGACAAAACGAACAAAATTTGACCCCAAAATTGGTCATTTGGGAATTTTTAGTTAAGAATTACGCGTAAGGTACCAAATCAATTGATGAGAAAGTTAGATCGAAAGAAGACCTATTGATCAAAAGAAGCCAAAAAAAGTTCTAGAAGGACAAAATCTCCGAAAATCCGTTGAAAATTATTTTTGCTTCATAGCCAAACAAGATAACTTTTACAAAATTTTTCTAAAAAAGATTATTTTTACACAAGTAAAAAAGGTTAATTCAACTGAATCTCCGAAAATGCGTTAGAAATTATATTTGCTTGATAGCCAAAAAAATTCATTTTTAATGAATTTTTTTAATCAATTCTGGATAAACTAAAAAAAAAGACAAAACGATCAGCTTTTAGGGTAATTTTTTGTTTGCGAATTTCGCAAAATGAATTGCAATTTTTTAAATTCTGGTGAAATTTAAGCAAAATGTTCTCTCCATTTTTGGTCTAACCTCCACCCAATTTGAGAAACACGCATTTTAAGTTTCAAATGTTCAGCACGTCCGGTTAATTCGTCCGGTTAATTCACACGCATTTTGTCCGGTTAATTCAAATCAGAACTATAGCCTTTAAGTTCTACTAGAATTGAAACTAAAGGTCAAACTCTAATTCATGTTTAATGCCTTATCTGAGGCAACAGATTCAAAGTTTTTGAAACTCCAATCACGACCAATAGTACTTCAATATGATATCATACTTTACTCCTTACAATCTCTTTTGGGGGTAGTCGAAAATAGCTTTAAAAAAAAACCACCCTAACCAATAGTTCCTTTCCCTCTTTGAAAGTGATGGGAACAAAAATGGCGTAAAAACTAGAAGCAGAGGTTAAGATGCCAGCAATTATGAAAGTGTCAGCCACCAGTTATTATACGATTTGCTACCCTGAAAACAGTGTCGGATTTGGGGAAAATTATAGATGCCCCCTCACGGAAATTCACCCCTTCGATGTCCCAAAAATAAAATCGACAGCTAACATAAGTTATAGAAGCTAAACGTCAAAAAACTGAACAAAAAACCTTGCCGAACCTGGGTCAAAGTGGAAATCTGTTTGATTAACTCAATTTGCTTGTTGCTAAGATTAAAAAACATTACTTCTGACATATTTACTAAAGGGCACGAAATACTTAAGGAAATAAAACCCGTTTGAAGTACCAGATTAAGCGAGAGTTAATCAAACTAATTAGATATTTCAGATACCTGCAATCAATGCATTTTTGAAAGACCAGGTTTTCCCCTAAACTATTCACTAATCAAACAACCAAGGAGGGTTTTAGTTTATGAGATCAAGTTCTCTAGCGCACTTACCTTTACAGCATTTTGCTCGTAACTTAGTCTTCATAGACGAAATATTAACTACACTTAAACCACAATACCATTTTTATCACAGGAATGAACATTTTACTATTCAAAAAAACTATTCGAACCACTTCACTACATCAACTTGAAAATGATTTAAGTTCAAATTGCAACTGATTTGAATAAGGTTCGTGCACATAAAGGACCAGAAAAGCCTCCGATAATCTAATCCAAAGGAGGAATTATGGCAAGAAGCAGCTTTTCCCATCAAGGCATTTGACCCTTTTACTGCCCCCATCAAATACGTTACTTTTACAAGACTTTTATTTTAGGCAGATTGCAAGGCACCTTTAGTGCCATTACTACAGTTGAGCGGGGCGCACTAGCCTGAAATGCAGCGTTGAAAAAAATTGCTCGACGCTTTCATCCAAAATCCTCGATATGCTCATGATCTCATTTGTGTTAACAACTCTTCAAAAATATTAGTGACTCAGTAGTCGTTTAGAATACAACCTAAATGAAAAAGAAATTTGTTCTATTTTGGCTGTTGAAACTTCCAGTGAAAAAGCATGGATAAGAAGTTTTAACATTCACTTACTATCAAAACCAAATCATCAAGAAATTTTATGCTTGGGATAATCTTTTATTCAGAACAACAAGAAAAATACTTGGGGTGATCTTTTATTCAGAACAATTTTATTTAGAAAAATTATTCAGAACAATTTTTATTCAAAACAAAAAACTTTCCGATTAAAATCAGGCAAATTCATTGGTCATATTACTTCTTATTCAACTCTAAATCTCAAATTTCCCAAAGAGGAGTAGCACAGATTTTCGCCACTTGGCAAAACAAGAATACAAGAAAAAATCCCAAATGCGGAAAAAATCAGATCTACCAAAATATATAACGCTAGTTTAAAAAAAACGCCAGAAATAGAATGTGAAACTAGTATCCAAAAAAACGTACCAAAGCGTAACAAGGCCAAAAATACTTGGGCAGAAGCCCTCTAAGCCCAAAAAAAATCAGACAGGCGGAGCAAAGCTTCGCATTAATTGCGATACAACAAGAACATTAAAAAACATGTCTAGATAAAAGTTCATTCTGAGAAAATATGCCAAACAGAACATTTGAATATAAAATACAGAGGCGAAGATTTTCTTCGCAAATATTCGCGAGAACACGACAAAAAGCAGCTCTATAAATTGCAATAGAAAATAGAAATAAGCCTCGAATAAGTAAAAATTCGGCTACGTCTCGGATTCGATATGCGACCTAGAAATTATGAGTCTCACGCATTACCTACTCATCCAC